CCATGGCCTTCTGTCTCTCTCTCTTTTTTTAAAAAAAAAGATTTATTTATTCATACAGATCTGGGGTACAGGCCAGAGATGCGGAGGGTGAGAGGATTCACCAGAGACAGAGTGGGGAGCAGAACAGGCAGATCGATGAAGTACACTGCTGAGGGGAGCAGCAGAGGTCTGCCACGCCATGTGGATCTCCTCCAGGGCAGGTGGGGATGGAACTCATGCAGAAGTGGCTTAAGCTTCTTAGTGCAGTGCTTTACCCCGCTGTGCCACCAGGGAGGGCCCCTTCTATGTGTCTTTTAACCTTTTTTAGTTTGAAGTCTATTTGATCTGATAGAAGTATAGCTGTTCCTGCCTTCTTTTTTGGTCCATTTGCTTGTAGGGTTGTTCTCCACCCTTTTGTTTTTAATCTGTTTTTATCTTTTGTAGTTAGATGTGTTTTCTGTATGCAACAGAACGTTGGGTTCTGTTTTTTAATCCATTCTGCCAGTCTGTATCTTGTTATTGATTTATGTTTAAGCCATTTACATTTGGGGATAGCATTGATATACTGGCACCTACATTTGCCATTTTAGTCCTTTTGTTTTTTTATTCCTTATTTTGAACTGTTCTTGTTCATTTATCTGTTGTATTTGGTTTGAGGGTTTCTTGTAGTATTTTTTTGGAGTGGGGTTTAGTCATGACGAAATTTTGGAGTTTCTGTTTGTCTGAAAATGTCATATTCGTTCTTTGTAGAGGAAGGAGAGCTTCGCAGGTTATAGTATTCTTGTTTGGCATTTAATACTTTGGAGTTTGTTGAGTATGTCCCTCCACTCTCTTCTTGCCCATAGTGTTTCTTCAGAGAAGTCTGATGTTAGCCTGCTCAGTTTCCCTTTATAGGTTATTTGTTTCTTCTCTTGTCATTCTCATTCCCTTTCTTTGTCTTGTATTCTTGGTAGTTATACTATCATGTGTCTTGCTGTATTTCTACTGTCATCATGGTAGTTTGGTGTTCTTGCTTCTTGGATGTCTACTTTTATCTCCTTCATTTTAGGGAAGTTCTCTTCCATTATCTCTTCGAATATTTTCTCGATTTCTTCCCTTTTCTCTTCACCTTCTGGAATACCTATAACTCTGATATTTTCTTTCCTAATGGTTTCAGATAGGTCTTGATGTGTTTCTTCATTCTTTTTCCTTCTTTCTTTTTCTTTTTTAATTCTCTTTTTTTCTGTGTCTTCGAGGGTGCTGATTCGTTCTTCCATTTCATCTATTCTGTTTTTATTACTTTCACCAGCATTCTTTATCTACTCTAGTGACCTTTTCATCGTCTGCTTTTTTTCTATTTCCTTTTTTTAAGGTCTCATTTTGTTTTTCAGTTCATTGATCACTTGTCTCATATCTTTTTTTTTCTTTTTCATTTCTTTCATTCATTTCCTAATTTGCATTTTTCAATTCCTTGATGTCTTACCTCATCATTTTTTCCTTCTCATCTTCTTTTTGTTTGTTTATCACAATGATTCTGATTTATTTATCTGGTAGGCTGAGCAGTTCTTCTATTTCTTTGGTGCTTTTTGGTGATGATCTTTTTGTGGTGAATTTTTCCCCTTTGGACTTGCTTGGGTATTTATTTGTCTTCTTTTCCCTGTCATGTATTTTCTAATACTTTCTACTTGCTGAGATACGGTATTGCTATTATTGACCAGCATTCTGCTGGATGTTGTTTCTAGGGTGGCCGTGGGACTCCAGACACTTCACTTTTGGAGGATATTCTGAGTTGTGCTTTGTTTCAATTTCTCCTGCTTTTGGCAGCCCCCACTGTGTGAAATTGTGTCTGTATCTCAGCCATTATGTCAGGGGTCTCTTGTGGTGTTTGGCTTCTTCCAGTAACACCTTGAGTCCTTTTCTCTGGAAGATACCTGCTGATTTTGTAGTCTCTGATGTCCCAGTTTCCCTCTATGCTTAGATGTGTCCATGGAGTAGGGGCGCATTAGAAGTGTTCTAGGTCTCCCTATAGCTGGGCCTGTGATTGAGTTGGTCACTGGTTTTGTTTACTTTGAGTACTGTGAAACTTTCTAGCTCACAAGTTTCAGGTTTCTGTGAGTTGAGTTGTCTCTCCTTATCTCTAGGGCAGGCTGAAGGGAAGCATGCCTCTTTCTAAGGCCCATCCTAGTGCCTGGACATCAGGAAACTCTGGGTCCTAGCACCTGGGTGCCTGGGCAATCCTGGATCTGGACTGCAGCCTTTCCCTGCAGTTTAGATTCCACACACCCAGCTCCTTATCTCCAGGGCTGGCTGAGGGGGGAAGGGAAGCAAGTTTCCTAGTGACTAGGTACCTTGGCAAGCTCCTTGGTCCTAGAACCTGGGCACATGGGTGATCCGCAATCTGGATGCACCATTTCCCTTCAACTTGAATTCCACTCACCCAGTTGAGCTGTCTCTCCTTATATCCAGGGTAGGCTGAGGGGGTAAGGGAAGCAAGTCTCCTTCTAGTGGCTGGGCGATTCCGGGTCCTAGCATCTGAGCACCTAGGCAATCTGGGATGGGGCTGCAGCCTTTCCCTGAAGCTTGGATTTCACAAACTCAACTGAGCTGTCTCTCCCTATCTCCAGGGCAGGCTGAGGGGGGAAGGGAAGAAAGTCTCCTTCTGGCACCTTGGTTCTCCTGGGTCAGATTGGAGTTCCCCTATCAGAACTCCCCAAATGCCAATTCTCCCTCAGTTATCTTCCTTCAGGAAGTCCAGTGTGAGTCCGGGGTGTTCTCATTTGGGCTGAAAGTCACAGTATGTAAGTCCACAGACCATTTTTCCATCTTATATTCCTGTGGGAGTTTGGACGTAGTGATTTTGGCATCTTCACTTTGCCTCCATCTTGCCAGAACCACCAGTTGATACTTTTTTATGGAATTTACCCAGCAACATTTTCCTTTTCCTGATGGAAACTTTACTTCATTGTTATAGTAAGATTACATTTTATTTGTTCACTGTTGTTTATCATCCACAAATGAATAAAACATACGGTATTTGTCTTTTTCTTATTTATTTCACTTAGTATAAACCCTACTAGGTCAAGCTATCTTACTGCAAATGACAGGATATCATCTTTGTTTTTTGCTGAATAGTATTCCAGTGTCTGTGTGCTGGTTCCTATATATTATGTCTTCTTCATTCAATTATCTATTTATGGCCTCTACAGTCCCCCCCAACTCTTGGATATTGTGAATGATGTTGCAATGAACAATGCATTGCATATAGTTCTTCAGGTTAGCGTGTTCACATTTTCAAGTCTATAACCAGAAGTGGGATAGCTGGATCTTGAGTATTTCCATTTTTATTTATTTTTTTTTGATGAATCTCCATACTGCTTTCCATAATGACTGCAATAATTTCTATTCCCATCAACAGTGTTGAAGTGTTCCCTTGCTTCCACATCCTTTCCAACATATACAAATAAATGACCAGTAATTGTTGCTCATTTGGTTTACTTATTAATCATGGAAATATAATTCAATATCTGATACCATCTTTAGCTCATGTATTTACAGCAACCAAATATGCAGTGTAATTGGCAATGTAATTTTTTAGTATTTTAGCAGTATCAGAAATTAAAGGTATATATACTCTTTGATGTATATTTCACTCACGGAAATTGTGGAAATATTCCTATGTAGAAATAACTATGCATAACTTATAGTAATGAAAAAAATTGCAAAGATACATTTTAAAATTAAAGTGATTAAATTATTCTCTCATATAATGTTATGGCAAAGTCAAGTTCTGGATAGATATATCTTTTTTAAAAAAGATTATTTATGCATAGAGAACTGGGGTACAGGTCAGAGATGCAGGGATGGTGAGAGGATTCACCAGAGACAGAGTGGGGAACAGAACAGGCTGACTGACGATGTACACTGCTGAAGGGAGCAGCAGGCGGTTCAGGAGAGGTCTGTTGTGCCATATGGGTCACCTCCGAGGACAGAAATTGAACTTGTGCTGAAGTGGCTTTAGCTTCTTAGTGCTACATTTACGCACTGTGCTACCAGGGAGGGCCCTGGATAGATATATTTTTGACATAAAAATCATTAATAGCACACCTTCAGTGGATTAAACAAATTGCAAGATAATATGCATGCTATTATGTATTATTTAGAAAAGATTTATTTATTTATGTATATAAGAGTTGGGGTGTAGTCCAAAGGTGCAGGAGGGTAAGAGGATTCTTCAGAGACAAAGTGGGAAACAAAATGGTGGATCTTCTGAAATACACTGGTGAGGAGAGCAGTGGTTGAAACAGGAGAGGTCTGCCACACCATTTATGTTTGCTCCCTGCTGCAGTGGTTCTAGATAGCTTCATAGTGCTGTGATTTAGTCCCTTTTACCACCAGGGAGGCCCTATTATGTACATTATATTCAAAATTACTGATTTAAAACTTTATATTACTATCAGTACTATGTGTGTATCTATTTAGATACATAAAATTTTTTAGAAAGAACTTATATAATTATGTTTCTTTCTGGAGATATGAAGACTGGGAAGTCAGAAGTTTTTTGGCAAGCGTAGTTTTTTCTGTGCTTTTGGATTATATACAGTTCAGTTATATTCATGTATCATTTGTGTTAGTAAGTAAATATAGGTTTTATAAAAAATATGAGAATATGTTGAGTATTAGTGGGGACAGAATAAGCTCAGTGGATCAATTTGAAGCTTAGAAAACCAAGAAACACAGAATTATGTATATCCTCAATTCCTTCTCTGGGAAAGCTACCAACTGTGATAGAAAAATATAGTCTTGATATATTACAGATAAATCTTCATTATGTAGACAAATATATCAGGTGTAAAATTAGATACTGTTATAAACATTCTATAAACTTGGGTTTAATGCTTTCAAAGGAATATTCAAATTATTTTGCTTCCATTGTTCAAAGAAGGGAATGTGGTAGTGTTATCTTTTCAACAGGCATATCTGATTCTTATAATTTGCATCTCTCAATATATATTATTAAATTGTCATCTACTTATATCTTTCAGTGTTATGATGTAATCAGCATAAACTCAACTCCTGAATTTGGATGAATTCTGGAACATGACCAAGATCAGGCTATAGACCTCTAAGATAGAAAGCCTTGGCCTGGATGATTGAGAACTCACCAAATCAAATGCTGTCTTTGAAATGGTTCTTCAGCAGTTAATAAGTGTTTTCTTTTTATGACACTGAGTCCTTGTTGTATAATTTTGAAATCCTATAAATCCCTTAAGGGCCCAATAAAATTTGTCTTATTGTTGTTATATAGATGACTACTATCTAGTAACTTGTAAATTTTTAGTAAATATGTCAGAGTTACTCCAAATATAAAATATTATAAAAATTGTTAAAATATTATTTTCTTCCTATAAATGGCCATCCATTCAATGTTTTGTGAAAATATCACGAAAGTCAGAGCATGAGGTGCAAAAATTGAAAAAATGTTAAGTCTTAGCATATTTTCTTCACTTTTCTGTAAATTTTCTATGGTATCTGTCACCTTTCTGTTTTTGTAAATTTTTAATCGAGGTATTATCGGTTTACTTCATTGTTAGGATTTGGGAAATACAGGATCCCCATTTTCAGATGTAGTTACCATATCTCACCTACCATAAAAGCACTCATTCATCTGTAGCTATTCTATCTATTGATAGCTATCTTTTTATTCCTTAACTATTTTCCTGGTCAAGATGTTTGGTGTACTTGCTATTTGTAATTTTCTACTTTGCTTCTAATATATTCAGTTATAAATAAAGTATCTTAATTTAAAGCATTATAAATATAATGGTAAAATAACATAAGAATGGGATAAATTCAGGTGGCAATTTACTTTTTCATATAGTTCATGAACTGTTCAGATATTAGAGAAAAATAGTTAAGTTGGGAGATCTTTACACTGACTAATATAGTAAAGATACAGTAATTCAAACAGTATGTTACTGGCATGAACATATAAAACCTAGGAAAGGACACTGAGCTCCATAAGAAGTTAAAGGTAGTGTTTAAAATTTGTGAAGTTTTATTTATTAAATTGAAAGAACATTTGATTAACCATATGGGTAAAATGTTAGACCTCTCCTTTCAAAACAAATTTAAATGAAAGACATCAAATTATTAAAACTTATTAGAAGTGAACCTTGCGATTATATTATTGTGGAATGGGCAAAATCTTGAGTTAATACCTACAATATAGCAAGCACTATACCAAGTAATGGGAACATAATGATAAGTAAGATAGCAGCAATCTCTGTTGACGTAGCTTACAATATAACAGAAAGGGCAGATAATTAAATGTGCTAGAAGTCATAGCTGGATTTACATGCTCAAATGCCCACAGATATCTCTCCTTATTTCTTAGTTCAGCTTTCCTTCCCTTTATTTTCAGTCAGGTTGTCTTTATATTGAGAAAGATGGCACTCTAGTACCGTCAGGATTATATTATACTGAGCTCACCAATTCAAAAGAGAGGTCTTTTTTTCACCTTTCAATATCAATAGCTAAAAAACAAACAAACAAACAAACATTATTTGGCCCCATTTGGATCATATAACAATTTATGGATGGGTCACAATCCACCAGTTGGCTGTTCTGATTGACCAGTGTAAGATTATATATCCACCACTATGGAGAGGAAGATGAGGCTCCTTGATTGATTTACTGGGGGTGGGGGTGGAGGGAGGAATGCCCAAAAAAAGGGATATAGGGCAGGTTAAAAAGTAACAAATACCCACTCTGAAACTGAAGAATTATGAATAGCAATTAAACAGAAAGAAAGAGGGTGTCAATCAGACAGAACTATAATATGAAAGCCCAAAGGGGAGAAAGTTTCCCCATTAGACAAATTAAATGACAATTCAGCTAAAATAGAAAGCAAATTAAGTTACAGGAGATCACGCAGAAAAAAATAGGTAAAGGACATCACAACAAAAGATGTCAATCAGATTATACAGTGTAGTCTTTATATAAAAATAATTTTTAGTACAGAAAAATGTGCACAAGATAAAACTTACCATTTTTATCATTTTTAAAGTTTCAGTAGCTTTGGTACATTCACATATCCCAATACACAGCCATCAGCACCATCCATCTCTAGAACTTATTCATCTTCTCTAACTAGAATTCTACCCTTTAAACAATAACTCTATATATTTCTTAATTTTCCCACCCCCTGAATACCACAATTCTGCAAGCTTAACTACTCAAATACCTGATATTAGTGGAATCATATAATCTTTTAGCTTATTTCACTTAGCATAATATGTTCAAGTTTCTTCTGTGTTATAGCTTGATATCAGAATTTCCTTTTTATGATTGTACATAGAATTTACTACATAAACTGTTTTTAAGTATACATTTCAGTATATAAACATTATGTCAATCAACCTACATAACTCTTTTCATCCTGCAAAACTAAAATTTTCACACATCAACTCCTTATTTCTTTCTCTCATTCCTCTAGCCTCTGGCAGATATTTCTCCACTTATTGTTGCTAAGAGTTTGACTATTCTAGATACCTCATATGTATAGAATCATAAAATATTCGTCTCTTTATGATTGATAGTATTTCACTTAGCATAATGTTCTCAAGCTTTATCTATACTGTAGCAAGTGGCAAAATTTCATTCCACATATATTTTAAGGACTTCAGGCTTTTTGATGGTGAAAACAAATTTATCTATCAGAAGCATTGTTTGTTCATTGTAAATTAACATCATATTTAAAATAACATTATAAAAGAGAAATGACAATTTTTCTCCTACCCCCCACAGTGACAACAAAACAATTTGAGTTAGTTAACTTTTAGCCCAACTCAAGGTCAAGTGTTTTTCACAACTCAGTGTTGCAAAAGTAAGCTTATAGGCAATATTATTCATTTCTTCAGCAGTGTACAAAGTAATTTGCAATTGAAAAATTTTCAGTCAGGTAATGTTTAAAGTTTGGTGGTTATTTGCAGTTAGCTAAATTTTAAAATGATGGAGTCTATCTTGCTAGTCTTTTTTTTTTTTTGGGGGTGGGGGTAAACTGCCAAATAACCTCATGTCAATTCATAATTGATAAATTATAGCTTATCTCCAAAATGTCTATATAATTTTGCATTCCTTGATTGCCCGGTAATGCTGGTAAGAAACAAGAATGTTACCAATGTTTGTACTGTAAAGAATGCCATAAAATATTCCAACTGATGTGCCACTAAAACTCACATTCCCTTTTCCAAAAGGTGAATAAGACAGTAACACATAAATCTAGAGGATGAGTAAAAATACTCAGTTTGGTGATAGTAATAATTTACTTCAAATTCTTCACATGCATCGCCATCATCATTATCAGGGTGACACATTTGTTAAAAATTAACAAATCTGCACTGACCCCATTATAATCACCAAAATTCCGTGGTTTACATTAGGATTCAGTCTTGGTGTTTTATATTCATGGGTTAGGCAAATGTGTTAAATGTACTTGTTATTGTAATACGTAAAAATATTTTCACTCTACCCCTACCCACTTCCAACTATTGACTACCACTGGTGTTTTTACTGTCTCCATAATTTTGTCTTTTTCCAAATACAAAGAGGAAGTCATGCAGTATGTAGTTTATTCAGATTGGCTTCTTTCACCTGTTAATATGCATTTAATATTCCATGTCTTTTCATGGCTTTATTGCTCATTTCTTTTAGTGCTGAATAGTATTCCATTGTATGGATTACTACAACTTATAAATACATTCACCTACTAAAAGGATGTCTTAGAAACTTCCAAGTATTGGCATTTATGAATAAAGCTACTATAAACATTGTTGTCCAGATCTTCGTGTGGGTATAAGTTTTCAAATCCTTTAGGCAAAACCAAGGAGTGCAATTGTTGGGCTGTAGGGTAAAAATAAGTTGGTTTAGTTTTATGAGAAATCACTGGAATGTCTTCCAAAGTGGTTGTATCATTTTGTATTCTAACCAGAAATGAATAAGAGTTCCTGTTGCAGCATATTCTAGAATAATTTGCTATTGTCGGTGCTTCATATTTTGGTTCACCCTAATAAACATAAAGAGACTGCTATTTGTATTTTGAATTTACATTTCCCTGATGACATGAGATATGGGGTATTTTTTCATATGCTTCTTTACCATATGTGTGTCATTTTTGGTGATGTGGCTTTGACTAATTCTGTAACTGGATTTTCTTTCTGTTGAATTTAAAGAATCTCTGTATATCTTGAATAAGTCCTGTATTAGATCTCTGTTTTAAAAATAATTCCTCTGCAGTTTGTAATGTGTCTCCTCATTTTCATATTGTCTTGCAGAGCAAAAGTTCTTTTAAATTTTGATGAAGCTCAACTGTCATTTATTTCTTTAATGGATCATTCCTTTGGTATTGTATCTAAAATGTCATTGGCAAACACAAGGTTTTCTAGGTTTTCTCCCAGGAGTTTTACTCCTAGGAGTTTTACAGCCTACCATTTTATGTTTAGATCTGTGATTTGCTTTGGGTTCATTTTTGAAAGGGTGCAAGACCTGAATCAGGAATTTATTTTTCCTGCTCGTACCATTTGTGGAAGATGACCATCTTATTTCACTGTACTGCCTTGGCTCTTTTGTCAAAGATCACTTGTCTATATTTATATTGGTCTAAGTCTTAGCCCTCTACTTTATTTAATTGATCTGTTTGTCTGTTATTTTGCTGATACTGTCCTGTCCTGATTAATGCTGTTTTATAGTAAATGTTGAAGTTGGATTACATCAGTCTGCAACTTTATTCTTGAACATTATACTGACTAGGTCTTTTCCCTCTTCAAAGAAATTTTTAGTATGTCAACATCAACAATATATTTTGCTGGAATTTTGATTGGGATTGCATCAAATCTGTAGATCAAACTGGGAAGAATTGACATCTTGACAAGATGGTGACTTAACATCCATAAACAGGGAATATCTATTCACTTATTTAATGTTTTGATTATGTTCATCAGAGCTTTACTTTATCCTTATAATAGATTTTGTAACTATTTTGTTAGATTTATACTTAAGCATTTAATTTTTGGTGCTATGTAAATGGTTTTGTAATTTTACTTTATTTTTTGTGCATTAAATTGCATTTTACTAATTTTGCCTAATACTTCTTAATAAAAAATAATCCGACTTTATAAAAAGATTTGTTTTTAAAAAGATGTATATAGTGATTTATTAGACAAGAATCTTATGCGAAATCTGGGCAGCAGTATTGAAAAGGGTCATGGTGTAGACTTGAATTAGAAAATGTACTTAGAGGTTTTCCTGGGATATTCTAAAATGCAAGAAGAATACTCATGAAAATACACTTTTTTATTACAAATATGATCAAAAGGATTTTGAAAAATAATTACTCTCAAACTTCTAAATAAAATATGGTGAGTTTTAATTGTTGCCTTGGGATAACAAATATGTCCAATATGGGCTAATAAAAATGACCAATGGGGTAAGTTTTTATTTAATATTTTTTTCTCTCTGCATGCTGTAGTGGGGAGTAAAAGATTGTCCACAGTGATTAACCATTGATAATCCTCAAAATGTTTACCCCTAACTCTAGACAAGAAGATATTTCTTAATACGAAATAATTATTTTAGTTCTTGTGTGCTAATGAAGAGTGACGTGAATTTATACAAAGAAAAAACAGACAAAAATATTTTGTATTTTATAGATACATTTTTTTTACATTATTCTTCGTTTTGTACATTTTTTCATCTCAGATGTAATCCCCGTGGATTTATCACCACTTCACCCATGTGCCTTCACCAAAGTACCCTGTGCTCTTCCCACCCCAGTTTTGATCTTGTTCCCCTCTCCTCCCCCATAGAATGCCTCTGGTTTATAGTTGGTAGTTGATGTTCTTTTTTACTTTATTACAATTAGTATATATTTATATCTATATAGATATAGAGAGTAATTTTTTTTTCCTGATCCCTTAAACTCCTATGAGTGAAGCCATCTGCTAATTTTCTTTTTCTTTCTGGCTTATTTAACTGAGTATAATCCCTTCAGCTCCACCTAAACTGCTACAAATGACATGAGTTAATCTTTTTGATTGCTGAGCAATATTCCACAGTATATATACCACTTCTTAACCCAGTCCTCTACTTTTAGGCATTTGGGTTGAACCCACATCTTTCCTATTATAAATAGGGCAGCAGTAAACATAGAGGTGCAGGTAATTTTTTGAGTTACTGTTTTTATGGTTTTTTTTTTGTGTGTGTGTGTAGGTAGCTAGGAGTGGAATTGCAGGATCATATGGAGCTCCCTTTTTAGCAGTTTGATAAAGCTCTACACAGCTTTACATAGTGGTTGCACCAATTTGCATTCCCACCAGCATTGTAGGGGAGTTCATTTTCCTCTACATTCTAACCAACATTTATTGTTGCTTGTTTTTTAATATGTGGCATTCTCACTTGTGTGAAGTATCTCATTGTGGTTTTGCGTTTCCCTTATTACAAGTGATGCTGAACATTTTTTCACATGCCAGTTGGCTGTCTGCATTTCCTCTTTGGAGATGTGTCTCTGTAGCTCCTCTGCCCATTTTTTTTTTTTTTTGATGGGGTTGTTCACTTTATATTTGTTGAATTTTATCATCTCTTTATATATCTTTGTGATCAGTCCTTTATCATTTGTATTATGTGTGCAAATTTTCTACCAATCAGTGGGGTGTCTTTGTTTTATATAGTGTCTCTTTTGCTGTACAGATCTTGTCAATTTGATGTAGTCCCAGTTGTATATCCTTTTTTCATGATCCTTGCTTTTAGTGATATATCAAAGGTGTATGTAGTGTAGTGTTTTTACCAATATTTTATTCTATATATTTTATGGCTTCAGGACTCATCTCTAGGTCTTTAATCCATTTTGAGTGGGTTTGTGTGTGTGTGTGTGTGTGTGTATGGTGTACAGTAATCTACTTCATTTTTTTGCACATAGCCAAAAAAAAAAAAAAAGATTTACAAAGAAAAATTTAAAAGGCACTCCAAGAAATATAAGATGCAATGAGGAAAAGAAATGTAAGAATCATAGGTGTCCCACAGAACAAAAAGAGAATAGGGAGGTAAAACACTGTTCAAGGAGATAATTGAAGAGAATTTCTCAAACATAAAGAAGGAAATGGAGCCAAAATAACACCAAACTAGTACAATGAAAAGAAAGCCACAGAAAGACATATAATACTAAATTTTTCAAAGGTCCAACACAGGGAAAAACTAATGAAGCTGACAAGGAGGAAGAATCAGATAACATACAATGGAAAACCAATCAGTATGACATCAGACTTCTCTTAATAAACACTATAGGCACAGAGAGAATGAAAGGACATACTCAAAAAACCCCAAGTCAATAAATTCCAACTAAGAATAATCTACACAACAAAGGTCTTTTACCTCTGTGATTGAAAAATAAAAACTTTCCATGGCAAAATTTCAAGAAATTCATCATTACTAAAACCCCACTACAAAAAATACTAACTGGAAGGGATTAAGAAGGACAACAAGGTAAGGAATAGAACCACACACACACACACACACACAATGACAAATACAGATAGCAGTATAGTAATAATAACTGAATATAAATGCTGTAAACTTAAAAATAGAGTCACAGGCCGGATATAAAAACAGAACACAAACTTTTGCTCTCTACATAAAACACACAAAAGATAAACATAGATTGAAAGTAAAAATACAAATCAACCTTACAAGCAAATACAGGCAATACTCATATCAGACAACATAGACTTCAAAGTAAAGTTATAAAGAAAAACAGACAATAAATTTTGATTAAGGAAACAATACTTCAGGAAGCCATAAAAATTGTCAATATATACTCACCAAACAGAGAAGCACCAGAAATAGTCAGACATTTATTATAATCTCTGAAAACAGACATTAGAGAAAATGGATATGTAGTAGCAGACTTCAACACATTACTCTCAACATCTGATTAATCAACAAGACTAAAAATAGGCAAGGACTCTAGAGCTTTTTATTTTTATTTTAAGATTTATTTATATGTGCATACAAAACTGGGGTACAGGCCTGAGGTGCAGGGTCGGTGGGAGGATTCACCAGAGACAAAGTGGGGAGCAGAACAGGCAGGTCAATGCTGAGGGGAGCAGCTAGTGGATCAGGAGAGGTCTGTTGCGCCATGTGGAACACCTCTGGGCAGGCGGGTATCAAACTCATGCTGAAGTGGCTTTAGATTCTTAGTGCTGTGCTTTAACC